CCGCTCAGCGAGACCCCCACCCCTCCCGCCCTGGGGTCACACCCGCTGCCTTCTCTCTGGGGAAACAACAGGAGTCCCCACGTCTATTCCACCAGCCTGATTTATTTTCTTGCTTCAGTCCCTGCCTCCTGAGACCATCTTACTCATTGTCTATGTCTTTATTGTCTGTCTCCTTAACAAGGTGACTACTCTTGAAAGAAGGCATCTTGTCCATTCCCTTCCCACTTTGCTCACACCCCAAAACAGTGAGCGGCACACAGTAGGTGCTTCATGAGCCTGGGTGGACACGCCACTCCATCTCACCTCTCTTGGGACCTGTGCCTTCCCATCCCACTTTGTCCCTACTAGAGTGTCTGTCACACTTCAAGGCAGTCCCATGCTTACTTTCACTGCCCAGCACAGTTCTTGCAAAGTTCCTGTGAAGAGTAGAAACTCACATATTTTTTGAATGACTGAATAATAATAAAAAAAATGTATCGTGCCTGATGCCAGTGGATGCCCTGGAGACAATTGATGACACTACCACTTAGAAGTCTGGCATCTCCCAGAAGGAATCAGGGTGCTCTGTGCAGTCTCTGAGGAAAGCCCCCAGTAAAGGATGTGGCCAGTAGCGGGCCCCACACTGGGACCCCTGACCCTGTTCCCAGGTCTGCATGAGGCCAGAGCAACCCAGAGGATTCTGCTCTGTGACGTGGAAGTAGCTGAAACTTTTCTCCCTGAGTGCGTGGCACCACCAGTAAAACAGTGGAAAACTTTGGCATTTTAAGCACGCTGGTCCTTCTACCTGAGGTTTCCAGCTGGCTTACTCTGGGGGTGCAGGCAGGACAAGTGACCACACCCCACCTGGTTTCTTGATGCTGCTTTTCTTAAAGGAGCCCCCCCACCCCACCCCAGTGAGTGCTGATGCATCAATTTGGGGCCCTTGGTGAGTCACTGCTGCTCACCTGGCTCCATCCTGCGGCCCCACCTCCGGCTTCCTTTAAGACGGCTGCCTTCAGAACATGGGTTCAGGAGACAGACACCCTAAGGCCTCTTGGGTCCTCAGGCATGGTATCAACTACCGACCTGCTTTAATATCAGGCAACCCCATCAGCCCATCAGCGACTGCTCACTGTGACAGAGACAGACAGACATGGGAACTAGAAACCCTAGAACTCTGCAGTTGGAAAGGCCAGTAATCCGTGAATAGGAAGTTTCTGGTGGTATGTGTGTGAAAGCCAAAATGTTGCAGTTCTGCCCTGACTGTCCTGTGGCTGCCTCTCTGGACCCCCAAGGCCCCCCAGCCCAGTCCCAACATCCCCAGGACCAGGATTCCCCAGGGCCTTGACTAAGGATTGTGGGCATCACTGAGGCAGTCAGAGAGCAAACGCACCCAGGAGCAGTGGGGCGTAGCAGGTGATGGCGTAGCAGGTGGGGCCATTGGGTGATGCCAATGCTGGCCGGTGTCTGGCTGGCCGGCTCACCTGGGCTTCTGAGTTAGCCTGTGAACATCTGGGCTGTCCACTCAGGGTTAGTGTTTTCCTCCTGCCTGCTGGACCCCAGGCTATGGGCTGCAATTCCCTGACAGTGCACACGTGTCTATTGAGTGTGTCTGTGTCAAGCTCTGCAAACACAGCAGGTGGCAGAAGGGACCGGGGTTGTGTTGTCAGTCAGCCGATCTTGACCTGAAATCGTTGGGCTGACACCACCATAAATGAACCAGACAAAACGAGATGAAACAAAGCCAAGAGGACAGAGAAGGTTCTAGGAGAGTGTCGAGAAAGAAAAGCATCTTGTCTTACTCTTGGTGACAAGGAGAAAGTCATCTTGAAAGGGGCCTGCCGTCCCACCACATTTAGTTACAAAGGGGACCAGGTTGAGAACACACACGGGACAGGCTGGGCTCATTCATTTGTGTAAGTGATGCCTTCAAGGCCGGCTGTCTGTATTTATTGATTTATTTTGAGAATTTTATGGCCTGCTCATACTCAGCATCTTGGGGTGCCTGGCCAGGAACCTGTGAATATTAAAGACCTAGTTCCTGTTGGTGGGGTCTCCAGGTTCACGGTCTAAAAATGGTAAGATGAAATTCAGGAACACGGCAATTGAAAGAGCGGCTAAAGAAATTCCGAATGGAAAAGAAAACTGACTTACTGTTTCTCCCAAATCTGCAATGATATACAAAAAGTACCATTCTCGCAGACTGAGAGTATTTCCTCCATTAGGTTAGGTGGAGACTTTTTTGAATAATTATACTACGTCTGTAGATGCATATGCTACGTATTCCCCTGCCCCTCCCGAAATGTGTGCAAGGCGTAGACTAGAAATCTGAAAAGAAATCAAGGCTTCTGGAAGGAAGTACAGCTTCCAGAGGCCAAGGATGCAAACAACAACCAAAGACATTCAAGCAGAGGCTGGCGGGGCAGATCCACCACAGTTCCAGGAGCCCACTGGGCGCGATGACACCATTCTGAGGTCAGCCTCTTCTTCTGCCCTGCCTGCGTTGTCCAAGAACAGGCTCCCACCAGGGGCTGGGGAATGGCCAGCTCAAGTGCGCCTGGGTCCAGGGACCCTCTCTGGAAAGGCAGTTCCAGCTCTCTTGGCTGTAGTTTTGAAGCAGCGGGGACAAACTGTTTCCAAACAGCTGGCCAGGTGCTTGCAAACACCTAACACTTTTCAAAAGGCTTGGTCTCGCCCTCAGGTATGTGGGCGGGAGGGTGCAGAGGAACCTGAGGAAAGTTTAAGAGTCACAGAATCAAGGACAGCAGGTGAGTGCACTCAGGTCTCTGGTTTCTTTACTCTGCGTCTTACTCTCCTTGGAGCAGGTAGATTGGCGGGGTCCCAGAAGGAGAGAAAAGCGGTTGTAAATTATTCAGCTGGAAGGAAGTAAAAAATGTTCCTCCAAATTCTCACCGGAAAACTTGGGGCAGATAATAAGGGCGCTTTTGAAAGACTAAGGAAAACTTTGGGACTATTAGTGTCCTTGAAAGGCCTTTCCAAACAAACTGACCCACAAACCACCGCCCAGGGAGGGGGTGATTGGGAAATATTTGGTCCCTCTGGCGATCGAGCACGTCTGAGTCGCGCGGTGCCCTGGCCAGGCCAGTCGCGGTTCCAGGCAACTGCCCACGCACACACCGCAGCCTCTCCTCCACCACGTTTCCCAGTTCTGTGTCCATTCCGCTAAACTCTTGCGCCTCACTTCCTTCTGCGAAGTGGTACTTGTATTTAACAGAAGGAAAAATGATTCTAGGCTACATGCAGAATTGAAATCCCAAACTGTTGCCTTCTTCATGTTTAAAAAATACCAGTCGCCATACCCTCTGTCTTCCCTTAGAAAACGTTTCCTTTTTGATAAGGCAGGAGTAAAGAGCATAAAGCGAGCAGCGAAGCCAACGGAAGTTGTCCCCTGCTGCCATTCTCATCCTCTCCCCCTCTCCCCTCTAGTACAGGCCAGGCCACCAGGCACCTCAGTCGTGAGGGACACAGGTCCTGCCCCGCCACTGCCCGGCAGCTCTGGAGAAAACAGCGAGGTGGGCCAGGTGGGGTAAAAGTAACAAACGCCATGAGGCCTGCAAACTGTCCACTCCAGCCAAGGGGTGAAGTCCTCGCCCACTGTTGACCCCACCCATTGGCCCTGTCAAGAAGGGCTGCTCCCCCAAGGGCAGGGTCCTTTCCCTGTCAGGTACAGAGCACCTGGCTGGTGTTCAGTGGACATTTGTCAGATGAACACACAAGCACATGGCCCATCGCCCGCTGAACTGAGGGTGTTGCCACCTGGGTTTCCCGGTACTCTGGTCCCAAGAACCTCAGAACCCCCGAAGGCCTTGGTGGGCGGAGTCCACTTCCCCTTGGCCGCGGGCCCTCTGGCAACCAGCCCGCTCGGCCTTTCTTCCTCTCTCCGCCCTGCTCGGTTCCTTCAGGGAAGTAGACCCATCATAAAGGACCCAGGTCTTTCTCCACCAGCAGCTGGCCTCTGACAGCATATCTGATGGAGAACCGGCAGGGTCCGCCTTGCAGGGAGGCCCCGCTCCACCTGCCTGGGGCCTGCAGGCCCGTGGGGGACGTGGCCCCGGGGCCCGGGTGCTCAGTACCGGAGATGCCGTGTTTGTTTCTAACTTGCTGAACAATAGAGATTCACACAGGACAAGAGTAATCAAAGTTGGGCGGCCCCGAGATGCCGGAGTGTGTCGCGGCCATGCTGCAGACGGACCCCGGCAGTGGGCGGCCCCTCTCCGGGAAGGGGCGCTCAACTTCGGGGTGTGGGAGCTGGCGTGCTGTCACCTGACCCCACCTGGTACTTTCCCTTATAGAGGCTCCAAGGCCGAGTACTTCAGAACGAAATTGGGAGCCACATGACCCGGACCCCATCACCGGGGGCGTGGGGTAGGGTCCAAACAGGACCCAGCTGCGCTGCATTTCCGGGATTTTCGGAACCGCCTTAGACCCAAGCGTTTCGTGTGGGTGCGAGAAGAGGGGGCCACGCACCAAGGCGGCCGTGGGAGCGCGTGCAGGCGCAAAGCGCGCCCAGGAAACACAAGGATGAAGCCGCCTGCAGCGTCCGCAGCATCCGGTAGGGGGCGCGCGCCGGCGGGAACGCGGGCGCGGGCGGACCTCCGCGGGCCTTAGGCACCCGGCGCCCCTGACGTCACCGCTCCGCGGTCGCCAGGGCGACGGCCTCATCAGCGCGCGCGTCAGAGCCGCCAGTCTCTTGGCAACGGCCCGATCTCCCGCTCTCCCTCCGCTTGGCGCTGGGCCGCGCGTCGCTCTGGCGTCAAAGCGACGTCAATGGGGATGTATCAATCCGGCGCGGCAGCGGGGCGGGGCCGGCGGAGGCGGGCTGGGGGCGGGCCCGGACCGGGCCAGGGGCGGGGCCTAGG